GAACAAGGCTACGTTCTTCTCTATAGGTTCGTCGAACTGGACTTAAAATAACAGTCACTTCCTCGCCGTTGACAGACCGTTCTCGCTGTCAAGGTGGAACTCGCTCTCCGTGGAACATCTACATGAGACGCACACTTTCTCACGCTGTCCAAGTTCACAGTCTCAGGTCGATTGATGACGCGTGTGATTTTTATTTTCTTTTATCTCCGTGCCTCGTTGTCAGTGCTAATAGGATGATGGCTGTTGAGGTTTTCCTATTACTATCATCCTATCATTATCATTTTTTTGTTATTGTTGTTACAGCAATGTTGGTTGGTTATTGTTGTTGTTATTCTGATCTTTAGGAGTGTTATGTTTATTATTTTAGTTATTATAATTATTACTTTTATTATCATTATCATTATTGCTATTATTTTCATTATTATGTTATATTATCATTATCATCAATATCAGTATCAAAAATATCATCATTATCCTTATCATCATTGTCATTACTACCTTGTTATTATTATTATCATTATATTATTATTATCATTATCATTTTATTATCATTTTGTTATCATTATTATCATTATCATTGTCATTACTACTATTATTGTTTGATTGTTATTGCCATCATCATCATTATTATCATTGCTGTTATTATCACCATTACCATTAGTTATCATCATGATCATTATCACAATCATTCTTCATATTTCTATCCTTTACACCATCATATTAATCATCACATATGTTGTATATATATCATATCTAGTAAATCACAATATATTACCATTTATTGTTCTTGCTCAACTCAAAGATGACAGCTTTTTATATTGCTTCTTGTTAAAACATAATAAAGCGATCATGACATTGCAATTTTTACGTCTTCATTTAACATAAGAGAAGATTGATGTTATGATTGATCACGTGACTTCCGGCCAAAATACAATACAAAGTTGAGTGCGAAAAGTTGTCATGTTTCCTGCTGAGGTTCTGTGTTCGCGCCCTTGGGGACCGCAGCGACCAACGGCCTGGGTGCTCTATGTTATTTGGGCCTGGGTGTTACTTTGGCCTTCGTGTTATTTCGGGCTTTGTGTTATTTTGGCCTTTCTGTTATTTCGGCTTTTGTGTTATTTCGGCTCTGTGTTATTTCGGCCTTGGTGCTATTTCGGCTAATGTGTTATTTTAACCTGAGTGATATTTCGAAAGATAGAAAGAGTGGGAGAGAGAGAGAGAGAGAGAGAGAGAAGAGAGAGAGAGAGAGAGAGAGAGAAGAGAGAGAGAGAGAGAGAGAGAGAGAGAGAGAGAGAGAGAGAGAGAGAGAGAGAGAAGAGAGAGAGAAAGAGAAGAGAAAGAGAAAAGAAAGAGAAAGAGAAAGAGAAAGAGAGAGAAAAGAGAAAGATAGAAAGATAGATAGATAGATTAAGAGAAAGAGTGGGAGAGAGAGAGAGAGAGAGAGAGAGAGAGAGAGAGAGAGAGAGAGAGAGAGAGAGAGAGAGAGAGAGAGAGAGAGAGAGAGAGAGAGAGAGAGATGGATAGATAAGTAGATAGATAGATAGATAGAGAGAGAGTGAGAGGCAGACAGACAGATGGACAGAGATATAGATTGATAGATAGATAGATAGATAGAGAAGAAGAAGAAGACAGAGAGAAAGAGAGAGGCAGATAGATAGATAGAGAGAGGGAGTGAGAGTGAGAGAGACAGACAGACTGAGAGAGAGAGAGAGGAGGGGGGGAGGGAGGGAAAGAGAGAGAGAGAGAGAGAAAGACAGAGACAGACAGACACACACACACAAACACACACACACACACACACACACACACCACACCAGAGAGAGAGAGAGAGAGAGAGAGAGAGAGAGAGAGAGAGAGAGAGAGAGAGAGAGAGAGAGAGAGAGAGAGAGAGAGAGAGAGAGAGAGAGAGAGGAGAGAGAGAGAGAGAGAGAGAGAGAGAGAGAGAGAGAGAGAGAGAGAGAGAGAGAGAGAGAGAGAGAGAGAGAGAGAGAGAGAGAAGAGAGAGAGAGAGAGAGAGAGAGAGAGAGAGAGAGAGAGAGAGAGAGAGAGAGAGGAGAGAGAGAGAGAGAGAGCGAGAGGGAGAGACAGACATATCTCCATGAGGATCCAAGATTTATGAACGAAAGAATCGGTCCACCCAGAAGACTGGAATGCAAACCGTACACATGTTCGACGCCCACTAAACACCGGAAGCCGACGACCATGTTAAGCAGTACGAGGCAGGCAGATGGCCCCTCAAGCCACAAACTCCGCCGCAGAAAGGATAACAATCTCACTTTCCCAGAACAATTACATTCTAAGTAATGAAAAATCTCGTCATTTTCTCACACTTTTTTTTTTTTTTTTTTTTTGGGGGGGGCAATCTAAAGGCATCATTTTGTTGAAAACTGCTTTGGTCAAATTTCATGTTCACGTAGACTGTGTAAATTCCAATGAGTTTTAGTCACTGTCATAGTAGTGTACACAATGTACACCTAAACAAAGAGCAAGATTTTTCACACCACATGGCAAACACGGTAACATGGCAGGAAAGTTCACACGTTTCAGATAAAAATCCTTACGGCTGCACACAAAA